TGATAAAAGAAGGTATATGATTATGTGAATAATAAATGGATAATATTTAATGAGTTATTTTAATATTAATAATGTATTATCATATTTAATTGAATATATTTGAAATAGATGGTGAATTAAGATAGGATATATTTATAATAATGATTTAGAGTATGTTAAATTAAAATATGAGATATTATAAATAATTCTATTTGTTGTTTATTATTTATTAAATTATCAGATTAATTAAATGATATTAATATTATTTCAATCAAATTATTGAACAATTTATACATAGTTAATTTAAAAATCATATGTGATTTAAAGAAATTAATAGAATTAGTCAATTAAAATATTAATGATGTAATTAAATGAATATTGATTAAAGTAAATATTAAGAAATATTGAATAATTAGAAAATGAAATATTATAATAATTAATAATATGATTCATATAATAAATGTAGATAATTATAAGAAAATGAAATATTTAAATAATAAATGGATATAAAGTAAATCAAAATCATTAAATAACAAATTAAATTTCTTTCTTTATTTAAAATACAATCAATTTTTTATATAAAATATTCATTAATATCAATTCAAATATTTTAAATATTGTATAATACTATTACATTTTCAATAATATATTATTAAGATATAATGAAGAAGAATTAATTTAAAAAAAAATAATTATTGACATAAATAATCATATAATAATTAATTATTAAAGAAATTTAAATTAATTCTAATATTCTACATTTTATATTTTAGTTTCATTATTATTTATTATCTATTTAATGTATTATTCTAAAATAATGTTATCAAATTATATTTACAAAATTGATTCATATTCATAAAATAAATACATTTAATTAGATAAAAATTATACTAAAATAATGAAATAATAATTGAGAAAACTGAACAACCATAATATCAATCTTTTATTATTAATTAATAAGAAAATTATAAATAATCAAAATAAACATAAATTAAATAAAAAATATAAAGAATACAATTGTTAATCATCATATATTTACTATTTTATACATTACAATATCACAATATCAATTATTATAATAAAATTAATTTTAAAATAAATATTTATATATGAATGTATTAATTTTATTTGATTAATTAATATAAAAATATCTAATTTTGATATATTTAATAGTTATTCTTTTGTTTTATTTTCTCCACTTTCATATATTTTTTATCATCATTGACTTATTCCTTTATTCTTATTATTTTTTTGTATTATCATTAATTTGGTTTATTGAGTATTGAATTTGATTAATTAAAATAAATTAATCCTTTCATATATTTACTATATTTTTATTATAAATTTAAATAAACAAACAATTAATAAATAAGAAGAGAAATGGAAGATATTCCACACCCATATTATTCCCACCTCAACCTCTCCCTTCCTTCTTTTGGACGCTTTCATTTCTTTGCTCCATGTATTGCTTGTTTGATCTACACCATCTACTTCTTCTGGATAGTTCCCTCCTGTTTAGTCGATCAATCTCACTTTGGTCATTTTCTTGTCAATCTAGGATTTTATCTTCTTATTCTTTTTCTCTTTGTCTACTTCGCTATTCTTTATGCAAAACCACATATCATTCCTCCATATGCATCTTTAGATGAAAAACAAGATGCAGTTGCCAGAGCAAATGAAGCCTTCCTCAACAATTGGCATTGTTATGACGTAAACTATCCTATTCGATATTGTTATGTTTGCAAATGTTTTATCCCTCAACGTTGCTTCCATTGTTCTCAGTGTGGTTATTGTATCGAATTAAAAGACCACCATTGTGATTACTTTGGTTTTTGTATTGGTCGTCACAACTTACTTCTATTTTACTTCTTCTTTCTTACCTTAATAACACTTTGTCTTTACGGCTTTGTGTGTTTCTTCCACCTTTGTTATATTGTTGGTTTCGACACATTTACTCCTCTCCGTATTTTCAAACTCATTGGTCTCCTCCACATCCTTGCTTGTTTGTTTTTGGGATTAGTTCTCTCTTTCTACTTCCTCCACAACTCTCTCTCCTTATTAATCCATCGCAAAACACAATTCGAGTTGTTGCTTGAACATCGCATCTCCCTTAAACTCCATTCAGTTTGTTTTCTTTCTTA